GAGTTCTTCATCATACGTGGTCGTTTAGAGAGTGTGACCACAGATGGTGGACGAAGTGGATTTTTCAACAGAGGTCTTCTCAAAGAAGGTGATTTTTGTGGAGAAGAGCTTCTGACATGGGCACTGGACCCGAAATCTGCAGCTAACTTGCCATCATCTACACGGACAGTGAAAGCTATCAATGAGGTGGAGGCATTTGCTTTGGAAGCAGAGATGTTGAAGTTTGTGGCTTCACAGTTCAGACGCCTCCATAGCAGACAAGTTCAGCAGACCTTCCGTTTCTACTCGCAGCAATGGAGAACATGGGCAGCAACTTTCATTCAGGCTGCGTGGCGCCGATATACCAAGAGGAAGATGATAGAGTCACAACTAATAGAGGAGGAGGAGGAGGAGGAGGAGGAGGAAGATTATGGTTCTGATGATGATGGAACAGCCTTGATTTCACGTACTGAAAGTTCATCAAGGACTGGACTTGGCTCAGCCATCTATGCTTCCCGCTTTGCTGCTAAAGCCCTTCATGGTCATAAGCTTCGTTCTCTCCGAAAGCCCCCAGAACCTGACTTCAGTGTTTATGATCATAGCGATTGATTCATTACCTGTTTAGCAGCTGAAATGTGAGGAGTAGTTCTTGTGTGTCTGTCCTCCTGTCTTAACCTGTTCACATGCACAGATGAGACGAGAGTTTTTAACTAATATAGCGAGAGGTAAGTATAACTTTCTTTGTTTGTGGCCTGTGGTGATTGGAGTTTTGATAAACCTACACCACTCTACTTTCTGTGAGCGATTCTTGTGTACTCTAACGCTTGGGAGCTGTTTAATTGTTCATAGTGTGCTCCACTTGCGAGTTGTGCATGCGATGTTCATTTTGATACGTTAAAGTATGAACTAACACAAAATAAAAAAAAATAAAAATAAAAAGCAGTTCCTTCTACACCTGTCCATGGTTACTTGTGCATATAACCTGATTGTACTACCCAAAAAAAAAAAAAAAAAGCTTCTAGCGTGTGTCATCGATTTATATTATGGATGTAAATATAAATAGTACAACTCATCCATCAAAAGATAAATGTGTCTAATTAGTAAGCAAGTACTGTTAAGGGGTGTAGAAGATAAAAATGCTCTTATAGCATTGCACTGGGGTTCGGGCTTTCATAATTGTGTCGCATTCGTATCTTACATAATTTGACATGATTTCCAGCAAATTGTTTCCAGGTTTTCTTGGTCACAATTGCTGTAGACAGAAGTTTCAAACAGCAAGAGGCAAACATATGTTACATCAAAGAATACACAAGATAAGAATTGTGCTTTAGGTGAATACATGATAGCATTCAAAATCAGGTTGAGCGGATCCAATAAGCTCCTGAACCTCTTTCAGTATTATGGTGCTCAACTCCGCCATGCAGAAGATACTTCCAACTCAGCATCCTCTTCCCACCATGTGCTTGACTGCAAAATCACACAATGCAGGAAGCATATATATAACTTATTCATAAGATCAGTCGGACCATAATAGCAAAAAATTGAGTCTACTCAATATTGAAAAAGAACCAAAATTTCCAGGAGACGCGTATCAACTCAATCCACTCATGCATATATACCAACAGAAGCAAGAACAGCAACATCAGAATATAAAGTTAAATCAAGGGGGAACTGCGCATAATACTTAGTTTTAATGCCCTATCATGTATAAATGTATTAAGAATAACAGTATATAAATCTTTTGGCACATAAAGTAATATTGCACTAAAACAGAAGAGCTTTGTCAGGAAAAAATAAATAAATAATATAATACTCAGACGGCAATCAACTTTGTGAAGGCAAAATGAACAAAAGTCACTGTATCTCATTGCAAACCCAAGAAAGAGACGGATCATATGCCAGCACGCTTGAAATCATTCCACACAATAAGCTAATTTAGGGCCGCCTTCTAGTTATAAGAAGAATGCCCAGGTAGGGCAATAGCAAGTGCATATTTTACCCAGAGAGGAAATCGAACATTAACATAAATAAACCTGACATAGAAATCTAGCTACAAGAATACATAAAATTCTAAAAAACAGATTCTTTATCAAGGGTAGACCTTGTAGCCTTTTCGAAGAAATTCTAGAGAGCTGCCCTCTTCTTCTTGAAGTCCCAGGACCCTCAACAATTCCTCTTTGGCCTAGATCAGACAGTAGATTAGCATGAAAGCATATAAAATTATAAATAAAGAAAATGAGCTAAAGTCTATGAGCTTACTTCACCAAGGGTGAATCGGGTTGCACTCTCAGCTACGCAAGCATAAGAACCATCTACTTGCTTAAGCATCACCTGCCAAGGACCTTAACATATCATAAAGTTCAGGTCCAATGACATTTTTTCCAATGTCTAAGAAAAAGGACAAATCATGAACAATAGGATTAAAGTCAATGCTTGATTTAAAAATTTAAAAAAAATTGCCTACCAGGATACTGGCGAAACAGTGCTCCACTGTAATTGACAATATAAGGAGCTACAGCAACTGTCTGAAGAATAGAATAAGTAAACAAGCGAAGCTCATTATTGCAAGATGAATCAATATCTAGAGAAGATTAAACGAAGAGGTACCTTTGAATACTCCCTGATTCGAATATAGAACACTGGAGTAAATTGACAAAGAAATCGGTAGTGCAAATCTTTAGGTGGAAAGCCCAGCAGGCCTAAGTCGGCACTGTGAAGTCAATAGCTATAGTCTGTCACTAATAAATGTCTTCCAGGGATACAGGCATAGATCAAAATCAAAAAATGAAATGAAAATATACCGCAGGGTTTCTAGCTCGAGATTAAATAGAAGTGTTGGAGTTGAAATAGCAAATTTTTCCTGCACAATCCAAGAAGTTACAGATTAATGGTTGATGATATGCATCATACTAAAGCAGCCTGCCACTGATATAGTATAGCCTGTCCAGTGATAGATAATTAAATTCATCAAGGACTGTACAAATGTTTCGCTTTCAAAGTTACCATACCAAATACTGCTCAACGTAAGCAAGATCTCTTGTACTGCAATTAATGAATATGTATAGTGTAGGGGGCTCACTAGACTTCCACCGACCTGCACATGTAAGAAACAAAAGTTACTAATTCTTTTAATCATGATCAGGTGATACAAACCAACAAGATGTCAAGAAGATATAACTTAAGAATAAGGTTACACTTGGCAGGAGTAAAATTGTAAGTTGCAGAAGAAAAACTTGACAAGGTTTCTTAAAAACAAGTCTAAATATATCCTCTTATTTTCATTCCTTCAATTGTACCTTCACATTTTAATTCCAACGAAGACACCCTACGATGGTCACAAATATTTTACCCTCAATACTTGCCTTCATTCTCATCTTCAAAATCAAAATCAAGGGTGTCTCTAACAGATCTGAAAAATGAAGTGATAGGCCCACCAGGGATGTCATCCAGAGAACCAATGGTGATGCCATCAATCTGAAGCATAAAAAAAATCAACCTTTAAAATAAGAAAGACTTTAATACAAGGGAGATACTTCTTGTTAATTGTTATTGTCGACTTGGAAGGATACTTTTAGAAAGGATTTTCCGAAGATGACATTTAATTGGGCCCATACATAATATCATGTTACATTGAATTCGACTCCATTCAGTTTTTCCATCTTAATAACATAACATAGCATTCAAAAAAAAAAAAAAAAGAAAAAGAAAAGAAGAAGAAAAGAATAGAAAGAAAGAAAGAAAGAAAAGAAAAGAAAATTAGTGAATGTGATTTTTTTACTGAATCTAGAGCTGTTTTGAACAACTCGGTGGCCCTGCGTTTTTCTGGCTTATCAGGAAATACCTACAATCAGAACAGAAATATAATTATATATTGTCCAAATAAGAATCAGTATTTATTAACAAGTACTTCTTGCTCGGGAAGTGAATGAAAAAATGGGTCTTACTATGCATGCCCTGGTCTCCTTCTTTTCCTGGAGCTTTCTCACTACAGCCAATGCAAGTTGAATGTTGGCGTCATTGAATTCATCTGAAGATCCCTTGAAATATTTAGGAATTTGAGAAAATTATGTGCAGCGTAATGAGGCAAACATGCCTACAAAAGTCTAGAGACTGTCAATAAAAACAAAAATGTCTCGAAGCATAAAATCAACATTTAGCCATACAAATTTATAGATAATTAAGCATAAAGAAAAGGAGGAAAATGTTGAAAAAATTTATACAAGAGGAATCACAATAGTTATTAAAAGAAAAGATGAAAAAGAAACAAGAGTAGATAAGGAGAAGTATAGACATCCACAATAACATGTAAGATATCATATACCACAAGTTTAAGCATGAAGAATAGAGTCACTCATCAGACAAGAATAGAAGGCACTTATGGCCATCATTCATGAATCCACTCAATCATTCGTTAAATATTGCACATTAGTTATTATGAATCTAATGGATACAGTAACATTGGACCCATCTTTTAATTGATTGTTATGGACAAATTATAAAATTGGATACCATCAACAAATGAACCTAAATCGATAGGATCATTTTAAAATATTTTTACTACATTCTGAGCATGTCAACTGGTGAAATTCGTCGCACTTACTAAAATCCACCTAATCTGTCCAATTGAAACCCTTACTAGATACTAAGATATAAAATAATATAAAGATTGACAGTTCATGAACAGACAAGAATTATTAATTTAATCACTAATGATTCATGAGAGAAAAGAATGGTACCTTGTAAGAAGAAATGTTGCTGGGCAAAGGCCTGAAGATATAAGCCCCAGGAGCAAAATCAGGTAAAGAAATGATAGCATATAAAAGCTATAACCAATAACGTCAAAACCTATGGTATGCCTTTTACATATATTCTTCCCTCTAAAAATTGATAATAACATTTAAAATCCGCAGAAATAAACCAAGCATTAGTAGTGCATTAACACATAACATTACAAACATTATAATTGCATAGTTCCCAACAAGTCATGAGCAGTATGAGCGTTACAAATATATTAGTTATTTGATTGTTTGAATTAGAGCATGTCATCATTAAGGAGAACAAATATTATTACTTATTATGATTTATATCGCTAAGGAGAACAAATGCAGACATTGATACCTACCACTGAGTTGTCAAATTTAGCACAAAAATCATGCAAAAACCACAAAAGATAATGCAAAAGAAAACATATAAGATTCACTCATTTTGGCTATATCTTCACTATCAACTCAGAATTACGTCACTTTTGAATGATAAAATGGCAGTTAATCTTCGTGTATGTTAAAAAGTTACTATACTACAAACTTAAAACTTTTCAAGTATCGGTATCCTCTCTCAGAACGCAAGGGATAATCTTTTCAAGTATGGGTATCCTCTCTCAGGACACAAGGGATAATCGAGCAATTGACTCTTCCACGACTAGACTAACTATAGAAACAATTTCCCAAATTCACGTTTTAGAAATATGGAGTTACTAGGCACCTAGTTAGAGCACATGCAAACTGAAATGCAAACAGAAAGGAAGGGCTTTACGGAAAATCAATCTCGAGGCGAAATTTTCCGTCTTCAAGAGCATAAGCGAGGGAATTCGCAGCATCAGTGACGAGAACTTCGTAGGATTTGGGTTTATAAACAGCTACACCGGCCTTGGGATCAAAGTTTGGCTTAGGAGAGGCTACTCCTTTCTCAACGCATCGGATTGTCGTATTGAGTGGAAATTTCGGGAAACGCTGAGGAGCAGATAGAGCAGAGTGAAGAAAGGCAAAAGAGAGGGAACAAGAAGAAGAAAAAAAAGAAGAAAGAAGAGGACGTTGAAGATCAAAAGAGCGGAGAAGGGTGAATTTGGAAGGTGAAGAGGAGGCCATGGACAAGGAGAGCAGTACGATTCGTGCGGTGGCAACACAAGGAAGAAGGATAAAGGATAGGATTAACGAACCCCGCGGGAAAGTACTATGATTATCAATATAAAAATACAAAATCTGCACTAACAAATGCCTTAACAGTGTTAACAGTTTCAAATTCCACTGAGAAAAACCAGGATAATTTCAATAAAGATTCTTGAACCATATTTATTTAAATTTAAAATTTTTAAATTTTTAAAATTTTACTATAATTCAAAGATATTAATTTGATATTAAATTTTTAAAAATTAAAATAAAATTACTTTTTATTTAAATTAATATTAGAACTTTTTCATTTCACTTGTTTATTTACTTATATATTGTTGTTAATTATCCTACTTTACTTCATTTTCCTAAAATAAAATCAAGTGAAAATCTAGCAATGAACAAGTAAAATAGGAAATGAATAATAGTTCGTGAGTAAATAAATAATATGCAATATAGAAACCAACAAATTATCTTAAATAATTTACACATCTAAAATGAAAACAAGTTAAGTAAGGTAATGAATAACATTTTGTAAGTAAATTAACAAGTGAAGTAAGACAATGAATAAATGAAGTAAGAAAGTTCTAATATTAATTTAAATGAGAGACAATTTTATCATTTCTTTCAGAAATTTAATATCAAATCAGTACTCCTAGACTCCAATAAAATTTTAAAAATTTAAAGGTTTTGAATTTAAATAAATATGGTCCAAGGATTTTTATTGAAATTCTCTCAACAGATTTTATTAATGAGTAATCTACAAATATTTTTGTAACAGTTTAAAGAGATATCATATCTTGGTAAGCTCTCCAAACTCAATTTGTCTAAATTCTTTATTTAGAAAAATAAAATTTTCAACCAACTAATTACAGCAGCCAAGGATGAATTCTTTAGGATGGAGTTAGGAGTTGAGGTGGAGGAAGAAAAACACATAAATATGTGAATCCTACTTGTTAATACATTGGACCTACATGATGCTCATGCTTGAGAGAATGCTCTTTCATTAGCATGTGATTGAATTCTTTTCAAGTCACTTATAATTTAAATATTCATGTGATTTAAAGTTGTTGTGCAATTCATAATAATGGAATGAGATTGTTTGTTATTGTTGTTCACCCAGAATTCAAATGGGGGGGGACAATGGAGAAAGTTTTATCAATCCTATCTAACTTGTGACATGTGAGGCTCATTAAAATTTTTCTCTTTTTCCACCTGGATTCTCCTCCACTTGGGGAGAATCTTCTCATGCTAGAGGGTATGATTTCTCTCCACTGAATCTGGAATTCAAGTGAAGAAAGAGAGGGAGAGAGAGGGAAAAAGATGGGTTTATGAACCCTACTTAACATACTGTGCAGAAAGTGAATAGTCAAACTCTTGTGATGAGAATGTGATCAATATAGAATTAGAGTTTGGGTTTAAAAAATTAGAGATTTTTAGTATAAACAAACTTTTAAACCTAACCCTATAAAAATGAACTTGAGCTCGGGCAGCCTATTTAGCTCCATTTTCATTTTACTTCAAAAAAATTGAATGTTTTTATTTTTAAATTAAATTTAGACTTTGAAATTTATTTTCATATTTTATAATTAGAATTTATATTTTAGGAAAAAATATAATATTATAATGTAAACATTTAATTTTTTAAAATTTACAAATAAAAAGTCAAGCTCACGAGCTTGGCCCCAAACTCAATCAATAAGGATCGAACTTGAAAAAATAATTGATTTTATGATAGTCAAGATTTAGAGTCTAAACCTACCCATTTACCAACTCTAGTTGGAATTATTTCTCTTTTTTGAACCAAGAAAATAAAGATGAGAGTTCATTTTTTAACCAATTTATATTGAAAAATATAAATCTAATTACAAAGGTTTTACTTTTTAATAAGTACACTTAAAGGATTAATAGAGAACTTGGTTTTACCATATATATATATATATATATACACATACTCCTATTCTTTACATTCAATACACACACAAAGCCTCCTATACATACAATAAAAAAAATTAAAATATGCTTGTACCAAAAACAATGCTTATAGTTATAAAACTAGAAATTATAAACAAACAAATACTATCGGGTCCTACATTTGTGAGATCCATATTTGCTTATATAAATAATTAAATATGGCTATTACAAGTTGGGGTAATAACAATTGTGGTTTAAAATTTTTTTGTATGTGCTAAAATATTGATAGAACAGTAAAACAAAGTAAAACTAGAAATAAAACTAATAGCTAATAATGATGAGTGAAGGGATGAGAAAGATAATATCAAAAATTTATATTGGTGCTGCCTAATCACTTGACCCATATTTAATTAGCATTTAAAATTGTCTAATATGATTTCTACTGTATTTTCCAAGATTCAATGGGTCTTTGGCATGCACCTTAGCAACATCTAACAAGCATCTTCAATAGGCTATAAATTCCTTATTTCTCACACCTACAACAATGTGTACTATAATCAATGTTTAAAAAATTAGATTCGACCATAGGTCAGTTCAACCAATTAAACTATTAGCCACCACCAGTCTTGTAATATACCAATATATATAATAGAGACCCATTTTCTTTATCCTTGTGAAATTACCTCTTTGCCCTTCAAAAAAAAAAAACAAAACAAAAACACCCACACTTATCAGCATATATCTTTCTTATTCCCTCTCCTTTTCTAGTTTGATCCGTCGAGAAAGAGAGAGAGAGAGCTGCAAGCCTTCATCGACATTTGTTTCCCATTCTTCCTTCTCTGCCACTATTCCTCACCGCCGGTGACAATGGGTACGCCAAAATCTTCCTCTCCCGTCATCCTTATCTAGTGTTTTTCCTTGGCTGTGTGTCGGCCTCTCTTCCTTCTTGGTTCATCATCACTGTCGTCATCATGGATGTGTGGGCTATGGTGCATCCGTTGCTGCCATGGAGGTTTGATTCTATGGTCTTCTCCATAGTCCTTCTGTTGATTAGCCGTCGGCATTCTCGTCCTCTTCCTTCTTTAGTTGCTCCAACGACGCACGGGATTTGTGTTCTTCCTCTTTGGCCAAGTCGTATCTTGGTGGTGCACAACTTATTCTTCCTCTATCCCTATCTCGGTCTGGTATGAGTATTCTTTCCTCTTTGACTATCGATCATTTGCGTATGTGAGGGTTATGTTTAGGTTGCTATGAAATTTGAATATTCCCCTCTATTTTTGTTTGATTTATGATTTATAAGGTAGTTGCTATTTAATCCAGTTGGAATTTGAAGATTAAGGTGTATTTTGATATGTAGTTTTATTTGAGTATTTATGATCATTATAAGTGGGAAAATATGGACATAGAATTGATTTTTCTGAACTGAAATTGACTCTTGATGAGAATTTGTTTTGCAAAGTATAATATTGCGTTGGTAACTGTCATGGAAGGAGATTTAAGGAGCAAAGAGTTTAATTGATTTATTTGAAAATTTATGTTTATTAGATGTTTGTAAAATGATCTGAAAGAGAATTATATTCTAATAATTCAAATTATTGAGTTAAAATGATATGAGAAATTTATATACTTAAATGATGATAAAAGATGAACTCTGACTTGTTCAAGTTAATTATGGTTATATTACATAGTAGAAGGGTTTATTTAATTTAAAGGAAATATGTTAAAATTCCATTATATTTGAAAGGATCATTAGAAGAAGAAGAAACTTAATTAAAGCTGTGGGAAGGAAATTTTAGAACTAGGTGATACATTAGATAAGTAAATGACGTTTCCCAATAATTATAATTAGAAGTGGTGATCTTTCTCTTACTTTATTTTGTTTATTCTAAATAAATTTTTTTATTATACCTTTATGATTAAGTTGATTTAAAGTATACAAACACCTTGTCTATTATTTAAATTTATTTATGCAATTATTCACATGGCATTTTATTTCCCCAAAAAAGTATTATACATGCATGCGTTGGATAAATTATTGATAAAAAGATTATTTATACTTTACAAATTAAAAGATAATTTGAACTATAAGGATTTTTAGACTCCATATATGTCAAAAGTTTTATGAGACTGAATACAGAATGCTAGTTGCTAACAATAGTTTTATTAACCCTTGACATATCATGGCACACCTAGCTAGTAAGATACATTAGAGGTGCTAGCCCTATGTGTTAGCTAACACACGTGGAAGGGAGGATAAAATTTCATGGATATAATCCACATATATTATTCATCAATTTTATGCTTGCGCCTGTCTTTTGTGACTTCTAGTTATGCCAAATATTATTTATCCTCATGGATTGTATTTTCACATTTCTTATTTGTTCTGTTTAGGTCCTAACAGAAAATAAGTTTTTCAACTTATAATTTTTGTTCTTAAGAATTATATTTTTATTATGTATTTTACATAAAAGACATATTCCTAATTCGTTCTCTATCTTCTCTTGTCTATGTTTGTTACTCAATTATCAAAGATAAATTATGCTATTATTTTCTAATACCATCTGTAATTAAATTAGTCTTTTGTTTCCTAATGTATATGTTTATAATTATCATATTATCATTATCATTATCATTATTATTATTATTATTATTATTATTATTTGGGGATCTTATTTACTAGAAGAATTTTGGTATTTAGATAGTAGAAGTGAACTTGCTCTTCAGTAGACCTATGGGACTTCTTGAGACAAGAAGCATTTTGTTGCTCCAATTATGTTCTAGATTAATGTAAATATTTAAGCATTTTGTTTGTTATAAAGTCATTCCACGAATCATATAGGCATGATTCTTAGTTAAATCATTTTGCTTCGTATATGTATATACTGTATCGGAGTAGAATTTTGAATGCTGTTTGGATGTTCTCTTTGACAGGTTATAGAGATTTCAGGAAGTCTAATTTATAACAGAGACTTACAAAATTTCTACATCAAACTTAAATGGTTTTGTTCCTATTAATAATGGCTTAATATAAAATGGCGATTGCATGATAAAACTATAATTAATGTGTTAAATGTGTTAAAGTTTTAAATTTATAGAATATGAGTTTTTTTTGGTATCCCAACCGATCACATTTTAAAA